GTATACATGTTTTAATAAACACAATGGAGCTTGGTTCGTTTTTATCCATATAGTAGGTACTCCCTCCTATTCATAATAAGTGTCGTTTTGGAAAGTTGCACACTAATTAACATTAATTTTTTTGCCAATATTAACCCTCATTAATGAAGATAGAGATGGATGTTTAAAAAAAAAAGATGAAGAGAATATGAAAAGACGTAGTGTATTTATTAACTAAATGAGGGTAAAAATGGAAAAATATGTACAAAAGATCCAAAACGACATTTATTTTGGTTAATAGTTGATAAAGCCAAAATGACATTTAAAAAGAATAGGAGGTAGTAGTAGATAAGAGAAGAAGATATTGTTTTTGTTTTCAAAGATTGTGAGTAAAAGAGTTTCTTTTCTCGTAGTGGAGTCTCTAGATTGTATTTATGAAATCATATGTTGCTGAAAAAAAAAAAAAACGAGTTTCTTTTCTCTAATGAAGTAACCGATTTTTACATGACAACAATTGGAGTACAATCCCAACTGCACTGTGTCCCACACTTAAATCACAAAATCTCATTTGTGTGGCATCGAGCTATTCCACATGACCCCCAAATTTCACACCTCCCACTTTCATCTACTCTCCCCGTCAAACCCCGCCATGCGCTTCCGCTCACCATGGCCTTCTCAGCCGTCGCTCCTCCCGTCGTCCCGCCGCCCCACCACCGCCTCCGGCTTCCCCTGAACCGCCGCTCCCTCCTCTTCCTCTCCTCGTCCTTCCCCCTCACCGGACCCCTCATTTCCTCCTCCGCTGCTGGCGCCGCCGTCCCTCCCCAGCCGGACACCACCGTCACGGACAGGGTTTTCCTCGACTTCAGCTTCTGCCCGTCCTACTTCCTCAGTCGCACCCTCGGCGAGAACGACCTCACCCTCTGCCCCGACGCGGAACCCCTCGGCCGCCTCGTCCTCGGACTCTACGGCAACCTCGTACCCATCACCGTCTCCAACTTCAAGGCCATGTGCAGCGGCGCCTCGGGTTCCACCTACAAGGGCACTCTGGTCCAGAAAATATTTCCCGGCCAGTTCTTTGTAGCGGGCCGGCAGGGCCGCCGGGACAAGGGCGAGGTCAGGCCACCGGCGGAGCTGGTCAGGAACACCGAAACTGTCGATTCGAGGGCATTTCTACTGGAGCACTCGAGAGCCGGCGTAGTCTCGCTGTGCCTTTCGGAGAATGATGACGACGATGATTTGAAGCTCAGCCCTAATTATCATAACGTGGAGTTTTTGATTACGACCGGGCCTGGCCCGTGCCCGCAGCTTGATAGCAAGAATATCGTATTTGGATCCGTGCTTGAAGGTAAAGTTCCTCAAAATTGCTTCAATTTATAACGAATTAGTTATTGGATGGTCCAAAAATCAAACCTTGGCGATATTTTTTTTTATCTACAGAACTTTACAAAGAAGTTCACCTTACTCTGACTAAGTCGCAGATTCTTTTGGACTTGAACAGTATCTACCAAGCCAATTATGTTTTGCATTCATGATAAGAGAGTCAACTTTCATTCTAAAAAACTAACAAACAGAGAGGTGGTTATTTGTTATTTGTTAGTATGCAGACAAATCACCTGCTGTAAAACACTTGTTGTATAGAACGATTCACATGGATATAGCTAGCCATATACGATAATTCTAAGGTCAAGTTGCAATGTATCCCTTTTTAGATTTGATAAGTTCCTTCGGTTAGTTTGTTTACTACTAAGTCAATTCAATGCCAATTAATAAATTTGAATTGACTGAAGCTCCTTTTAGATTGTACTGGAAAGAGTTTTTAAATCCATCATGACAAATCGATAGAGTTCATCTGAGGAGTTTCCACAAAAGCTTTCAAGAGGAAAGAAAAATGAGATGGTGTATTTGATCTGAATAATGTACATGGTGAATTACAGGCCATATCTATTCAAAATCGTAATTCGTACTGAAAATGAGACTTGGTAGGCTAATTAGAACTTTTCATATTACAGGGTTGGATGTGGTAACTACTATAGCTTCCATCCCTACATTCAAACCGGGGGAACAAGTTCGGCAATATAATGATTTTGCAGAGTTTATTGGGGACGGGAGAGCCAAATCAGCACGTGCAATCTGGAACAAACCTCTTAAAACTCTGTATATAAGTGATTGTGGAGTACTCAAAGTCGCTAAACCTACCCTTACCCCAACTCTGCCATGAAACTGCCGCATTATTACCTCCTTTCTCATTTGTGTTGTTCTGCATATATAATGTACTCCAGCTCATCACTACTCGAATGAGCAAATTGCAAACTTTCTGGTGTCCATTAGCCAAGAGTTAGTATTAATGTACACGAATACACATTTGGCCTACCTATTCTTTTGGATACAATGAGAGAAATCACTAGTAATTTTGGCTGGATTGTTTGTTGGATTCTTTACTATTTCTGTCTTTCTTAATGAATGAAAAAAGCGATATAGAGTCTGACGTTTCTTAAATACAGTGATCTGTGAGGCGGCTTGTATATGTAGTAAACATACTTGCCCAGTGTTTGGGATCCTCTTAGTTTTCGTTTTATCCGCTGTAGCTACACTCATTCTGAACAGGAAGCGAAATGTTTTCAAATGAAATAGTTAGAAACTTTGTTTGTTTGTGTACCTATAATGAAAGTTCTGTGTATGCATGTTTGTACCTCTCATAAGCATGATGGAAGTTGACTAGAGTGGGGGCATGTTTAAGGTTGACTAAATTTCTGTTTTGGCCAAGAACTCGTTAGCTAACTCACCTCCTTTTGATATACGTTTAAATAACTTTTAGGCACTAATAAACATTTCCATATTCCTGGTCGAATTTTGTATAGATGAGACATTTGATTAGGGGAAAAAAAACAAGAACAAGTGATGGGAATTTAAACTGTTGTCAACCGTCGTATATGAAAGTGGTGCATTTCTTTTCCAAGGAGTTTGGTGACCTAAATTGTGGGAGTGGGAATTCAGAACTAACGCGCTAGTAAAACTGTGAACGAGTTTAAGCTCGAGGTCATCTCGTTAACCAACTTTAACAAATTGAATTATATTAAAAGTTCAAACAGTTACGCAGAAATTCTTATTATCAAGCCTAACAAGTCAAGTAGTGCTGAGCCTACGAGCGACTTATTTGGCTTAATAGCTCTAGACATTGTCCACATAAGGAGGATTTGAGTAGAAATTTGAGTTGTCAGATCATATGCATACACACATGTACCCATTTGATTGTCTATTGATTTGATGGGTCAAACCTTGAACACTACCCATTGGTTTTGGATTAACTTTCATCTCTTGCTACACGTCTCCATGTCTCTCACACGAATGACAAATTAAAAATATGCCGATATTCCTAATACTTATTTCTTTAATTTTTCTTTGTGTATCAATAATATTTAAAAATAAGTAAAAAACACCTAATAAAAATACATATTCTTTATGTTTATAATGCCAATTTATATTTAAGGGATGGTAACGCAAAGCACTCCGATCGGCTTGAAATCGGCTCGTCTTCCTCCTCCTCGCCGGTAGAACGCCGCGTACCTGCAAAGAACTCTCGTACCGGAGGTTTTTCCGATGAAGAGCCTCCGATGCTTAAGTCAGTGTATATTTTACTCAATTCTCCAAGATATGTAATGGATAAATCGTAAGTCACAAGAAAGGGCTCACTTCTATATATATAGGAGTGAGATACCTACCCTAGGAGCTGCCCGGATTTGGTGAGCTGTCCTACCCGCGCTGCCCGTCCGTACACACACAGTGTGCGTGTGTCAGAGGTGTTAGAGGTGGTTAACGCCACTATCGCTCTGCACCAATTTAATCTTGCCACGTGTCCCTCTGAGCAGAGGGTGATTATTCTCCTGCGTATTCCGGTGAGATTTTCTGACAGAGTCCACTCGCTCTCTCGCGTTCAAGCCACGCCCTCGATTGCTCTTCACCCGCTGAGTGCTTGATATAACCGAGCCCCCTTTTGCTAGGTCGATCATCGACCATATCTGCTATCTTGCTCGATCACTTCCCTTTTGGCCGATTATTGCTCGACCAATACGATTTTCCCAACGTTAAACAGCTTCGTGCGATCAACATGGTAAACCGGTTTATTCTTTAGGCATATAATATCACATATCAAGGGATATATAATTTATAATTATTTATATTCTTTATGGGTATAATGCCAATTTAAATTTATGGGATATATAATTTATAATTATTTATTGTACCCAATTTTTTGATATGGCATACCAGATAGGCTTTACCCATGCCAATAGCCCGACGAGCATAGCGCAAGCCCAAAGTTTTGCATAATCCGAAAGCCCATTCAAAATGGAGGCTAGAAAAGCTGGAAACGTCGCCGTTTCACATGTCACACCAATAACCAACGTTTAAAAAAAGCCCACAACGGCTAGTTCCAGCCTACCGTTCAACAAAAGAAATCCACAACTCAATAAAGCCTCTGCACATCAAACTCTGTTCTTCCTTGAAAAACCTCAAAAATCCAACAACTAACCAAACTACACAATCTCTTAAGCAGAAAACAAAGCCCGCAAAACAGAATCAAATTGTACGACGAAGAAAATGGGGAGTTCATACACACCAACGTACTACACGTCACTGCACGAGTCTATCACGACCATCTGCAAGTCGATCCTCCCCTTCTCCTTCAAGAAGCGGCGGATTCCGGCCATATCCGCCGCCGAGAACCGCCTTTCCGAGCAGCAGTCGGATAATCTCAAGTGGCAGCAGGAATCGTTCCACCAGATGCTAAAGCTGATTGGCCTCTGCAAAGAGGGGATTATCGGCCAGGACCAGGTTTCTGATTTCAGAGCACACGTCATTCAGACCATCACTGGCTTGCCTGTGGATTACGAGGCGCCCATGATTTTGAGGGATAAGCTTATCTTCTTGCAGGTTAGTTAAATTAGTGTGCTAAAAATTTGGGCTTTTCGAGATTCTTGATTTGTTTTTTTACAATGTTGTGTAGCAGTATGGAAAATCCTTTTTAGAAAATCTTGGATTGTGTCCTGATTTGACGAGATATGGATAATTTTCTTTGAATTTAAGCTGTATCAACATGTGCCCCTTTTTTTACTTGTGTTTTAGCTTTGTGATTTTTGAACCACAATTTGGACTTCATTAATTTGATATGATATTTTTTGTTTACTTTAAGTTTCGTTGTTAGTGAATGTTTGTGGATTTTATTTTCCTCGATGTTTGTAAATTTCATCTGCCTCACACATGAATTGCCAGCATTATTAATTCATCAATTGGCTCACTGCGATTTATCTGATTAATTGCTGGGCTTTTGTGACTTTAAATTTAGGGTGGATTATGTGAGTAGTTTCGTAGTTATTTGTCCAGTTTGTTTATTCCCTTAGAAAATCTGGTAACTGAAAGAACATAAAATAACAGCAACACAAAGGCATATGGTACAATGTAACATCTGACCTCCATTTGCCTTGAATCTTCTTGTTCTGTACTGCAGTCTGAAACTCTATTTGATTAATCAATTGTTTCATAAATTTGCAATTAATATTACTACTGAAAGTCCATGGATTAGCATATTTCTGAATTGTACAGAAGCTCTTTCACTAGGATATAGGGAAATTAAGCATTTGATAAGGTCTGTTCTGTTTCTTTTTAGGACTTATTTTACGCAAATTGCATAACCGAGGACGAGTACCATGCTTCAAAGAGGCCACTGCTGCAAAGGCTTGCAGTCCAAGGCGCCAAGATTAGGGAAAGTGACGTAATAATCGAGACCCACAACAGAATTCCAAACGAGGAGTGGTCCGTTTTATATTTAAAGGAAAATAAACAATGTTCGGTTAATCCAGATAGATTGATGCTAGAGAACAAACCCAAAGAAGGCCCGGGAACAAGTCACGTAAAGAAAGAATCAACTGTTTCCAAGCTTCTGAGTTCGAAGGAAAACCCATTTTGGGATTGTGATTTAAGCGAAAATGAAAGTGAGACTAAATCGATTCTCATGAAGGAGACCTTAGGGAAAAGTTCCAATGAGAAAGCGAGAAGGAAACCGTTCAGTGGCCTCTTCAAAAGAAATGAACGTAATCCGGCTGTTGAGGAAAAAGAAAAATCGAAACTTGTGATGAAGAGTAATTGGGGTTTTGATGGGCTTAAGAAATGGATGAAGAATGAGTCTGAGGATGAATCGGCTCCTTTGTCTTGTAATGAGAAATCGGATGATTCGGGTTACAATAATGGCGGGACTGAACCGAAAAACACAGTGGTGGGTGAAAAAAGACCAGAAAGCAAGAAAACAACAAAGGAAAAATTATTAGTTCATGAGAATGGATCAGAGACTAACTTTAATGAGGAGAAGAAGCATAGTTTGAGAAAATGGACGATGTTTGATGATGATGAAGAAAATGCGCATCCAAATTTGTTTTCTAACCAAACCCATTATCCGTACAGCTCCATGAAGCAAGACAAGTTCTTCTCATCCTCTGCCAATACTCGCTCATCTTTGAACAGTAGCAGTGGCAATGATAAGGGCTTTAGATACAACCCTTTCTTCGAAGTGCAAGATTATTAAACAAAATCGCCTTTTTGTAAGGCGGTGTACCTGGCAGGATGCTGCTAAATTTGCTGATGTGTTTTTCTTGTTGTAAACACTAAACTGGCTCTGTACAAGAATATGTATGTTGATGAGGTATTTTTTTTCATTTCATGTATGAAATGTATGGTCCTATTAAGCATGTTGTCAGTCTGCTGCCTAGATATGAATTTTTCCCTTGCATCTTAAACAGGCAGCTGAAGTCGAATAAAGTGTGATTCCGAGTTGCGCACACAGATAAAAGATCAATTTGAATCGCAAATAAATAAATAAATAAATTAGTAAATAAATAACATCAGGTGCTATAAAAAAGGCTACCGGACAGCTAGATTTTTAACTGAGTTTTACTCTGTTTTTATCACTCTTTCCGGAAAACATCGAAAATTGGTTCTAACTTGGGTGCCTTAACCACAAATAGGAAGCTACATCAAGATTAATCCTAACAGCACATGAAATTGAACACATATGATGACAAATCAGACTAAAAAACAGACATGTTTTGCATGAGCTCTATAAAGTCCAATGAGAAGTGAACTTAGCCAACCCTCTTTTTGCCTCCACAACTGGAAACACATCCTAAAGACTGTTGTACAGAAAATCAAGTCTTGACATTCGCAACTCGTTTATCTTGTTACTTTTTATTAACCTTGACATGCGCAGCAAAATATCCGATCATGAATCTTGGCATGTTTCCTTTTTTGAATTATGAGTCTTCTTCTTACTCTAAAAACCAACCTTGCTTGCATGCTCATTAAAAATATCGATGTTTTTAGCGCTATATCGACACTGTTTTATTCACCTATAGGTTTTAATGCATGTTGTGATTATATGTTCATGTCAGTTTCCTTCATTGTGGGAAGTTTATGTCTGTTATCTCTATTCTCCATCAAAAAAATAATATGATAAGGAATTCTCTAAACTAAAATCCAATTTTCAAGATGGTGTACCTTTATTTTTATCTAGGGTAAAACATTGGTGCAACTTGTACTGTACGTGTATTTTCGACTTTGCAACCTATAATATTTTTCGTGGTTATGCCATCTGAACTTCATGAACGTTTATAGTTCGCAACCTCGAACATTTATAATTTGCGACACATCTCATAGCTGTTTATAATACAGATTTTCAACTATGAACTTGTCTCATGGTTACAGTTGCTAATCTTTGTGTTGTTATTCAAGATACTGTTTTTTACTTCGTCTTTTTTTTTTTTTTTAAAAAAAAAAGCATAATCATGGAGAATTTCTCCATGAGGTGGATTTCGGCCTATTTTAGGCAACCCCAAAGGAACTTAATTGAAACATATAAAACCAAATGCAGCAGATACCATAGCAAGGGGAAAGAAGCATTGGCACTGCTTAAGACTTTTTATCTGTTTAGTACTAAGTGTTTAAAAGTTATTCAGTTCTTTTATGCTCTGCAGTGATCCTTCCCATCGCCTCTCCGCATACGGAACAGCTCAAAAACATTGTTTGTTGTAACATTACTTTTACTTACATCTTCACGACAATATCTCCACCGGAATTGTGGATTCATACACTCTCTCTTCTGCCTTCTTCGCCTAAACAAGTAAATTTCAACACGCATAAAAAACTATAAATCAAACAAAAACAATCGAATAAAAGGAGGCAGGGAGAATAAGGCGCTTGGATAACATCCAATAAAAATTACATTTCTTATTACCTCAAGTTCCCAATTAGTTCTTATGGTGATAGCTAAAAGGCACACTAGTTGCACTAGCAAAGCACACAAAATTCCCAGCCACAGACCCTATAAGCATACGTTGTGTAAAATAGATCAAAAGAGACGTAACATTAC